GTTTTAGCATCCATTAATGATCCTTGACAGAATCAATTATTGCCTCCTTTGTTGCAAAGTCGGATTTTCTATTTCTGCTATACCTTTGGTGTTTATTAGCTGGCAAGCTTTCCACTATCCTCTTTTTCATGAATATCGATGGATTTATGGTTCTTTTTTTATTCAGTGTGTTCTAATTCATCCATATTCTTTTTATTGTTCAAGCTGTCCCACATTTGGCCAGTGGGAGCCCTTTCAAGGCAGCTGCTCTGTCCTTTTGTCATGCGCGCGTTAATATTCAAGTACTTCCTTGCTTCCTGGCATAGTAAGATGTTCTAGGTTTATCTTGTGCTCTCCTTGCCTCAATCCTTAACCCCACTATTTCTTCAAAGAGAGAAGGTATTTAGAAACAAAGATCTGGGTACTTTTCTTAAAACTGCATTTAACCCAGAGAAAGTGAAAAACCATTAATCATTTGTTGACGTTCCCCCATCCCCCAGCTTCTGCTAAAATATTCCCATGGAGGCGTTGGGAGTTTAGAAGCTGGAAGGAAAGGACCATTGAGAGGAGGAGGTTCATGGAAAGTGAAGGTCTTTGGGTTTGGACCGGAGGTGGCACAATGATGCAAAAAGGGATATGAGAAGGTACCAAAGACTGATTTAGATTATCTTGGCATTCAGCCCAGGGAGTGACTAAAGAGCCTGAGAAAGTAATTTCTGCTTGGTTTCCAGGTAGACACTGAAAACATTGGTTGCCCTATTTTACCCTAAGAGATTGTATTCGCTTGAGCTATCCATGTGCTAATTTCTTACAGCAATTTAATAAATATAGGTTCCATACTAAGAGTTCCTAAGCCCTCTATATTTTCAGAGTCAGCATGAGGAATGTGTAGATGGATGTATATTTCAACGTGTGTTCTTTTAAAAATTAAAATTCATAGTTTTTGTTTTGAATACTTGCCATTGAATATGGTGTCTCAATTTCCTTGCTGGTTATAATATTTGGTTGCAAATTATTAAAGGTGCGCATGTGCAACATTTTAGGCAGCAACTTGTGAGACACAGAAACCAAGAATTTCAGAGTTATTTTCCAAAGTAATCAACATGCATTTGATAAAGTGATAGAGTCTCTGAGGGGGATCTTGAACTTGAAGTGAGAGATTATTCTGAAACTCGGTATCTCCTCTGTGATCTCTTACATGCTGGCTTAGTTATTATAAAGTGTTCACTTGCCTATTCTGTTCTTTCAAACAAAACAAAACATGATGCCAGTAGCTTTTGTTTCCATTTGATAGGGAACGTATGAAAATGTTTAAAAATGCAAAAGCATATTTGAAACAGAAGGGTTTTGTTTTTCATCGAAGTCAGCATTTGTGGAAATAAAAAAACAACACAAAAAACAGACTACTAATCTAAACTTTGTGCAGCAGGAATATGGTTATTATTCAGGTATATACAGTGAATGTTACAAATGGTTTGTAATTTTATGAAATAAAACACACACACACACACACACACACACACTCACACACACACTCACTAACATACACACAAAACCACTGACTTTTAATCCTCAGTACATTCTTGAGAATGGAGAGTCATATTAAAGCAACAGCTGTATACCAAATAGTTACTGGATGTATGGTATGCGAGGAAGGTTAAACTGAAAATCGGAAGGGATGTATTTGAATGTGCTGCCAGCAAGCATAGGTAAGTGAGCTCAGGTGTGTGGCGGCCAAATTATCCCTAACTGTCCCTTGACTCCTGAGTACTTCACCATTCAGTGCTTCATGTGATGTCAGTCAGTGTCCAGGATTAAACAATGCACACTCATGATGAAGGAGTCACCGTTTTTTGGCAAATGGATTATTTTTGAAGTCAAGTTTTGTCGTTGTTGGGAACATTTTAATATTACTGAGTTCTTTAGGAGGTCATTAAGATCAATCTCTCTTTTCTTGCTTTCTATTTAAAACGCCCAAGTGAGGCATTCATCTCTACGCCCAAATCCATTGCTGCTTGTGTTTCTTTAATCTTGATCTTGTTTGAAAGGAGCTTTATCCAGAACAGGTTCTTCATTCAGAATGAAATTTCTTTGAGACATCAAGACAGCTTGTATACAATTATATAATTAAAAATCTTCTTTCGTCTGGATTTTACCAAATCCGTGACTGTTTTAGCCAGTAAAAGCAAATTATATTTTGGCCTCTAATGGATTTATATACTTTGAACATCCCCTGTGTTTGCTCTTGAATTGCGAGACAAAAAATACTTTCAAGGGTTCGGTCATGAGACTGGATCTGTTAGTACTTGAGGAGGAAGCTTTTGGTGTCCTTGTTCCTGAGTTGGCCTTCCTTCTATTGGCTGGACTCACATGTGAAATTACAATGGGGATAAAAAGAGGTTTTCCTCCGAATGCCTTAGTCTTATTTTTATGTTGCATATTGTTGTTTTTCATTGTAAACGTGGATGTGATTATTGTGGAAAATTTGGATACTGCAGGAAAAATCAAAGAAAGTAAAAATTATTCTGTTAATACTCTAATTCTCTTATATCTAATTAGCAGTTATTCCAAGGTTGAGTATTAATTGTATAAATGCTTTTAAACAAAATTGAACATATTGCTTTATAGTCTGCATTCCCAATGAACATTGCTTATAAACATTTTCCCATTTAATTAAATCTTACAGATTTTTAATAACTGTTTATCCATTGTTGAATATTTATATTTTTTAAATTGCTTAAAATGATATTACTTGTAATAGAAAACTTCTTTGTACATATTTTTATGTGTATCTTAGACCTTTTTAGGATAAATTCAGAGTTTTTTAATTTATTGATTTCAAGGGATGAAAAGTAATTTAATTGTTTTTTCTTATCAGCAATTAGTGTTAAGCCCTCTTGTCTGCAAGAATCAATCTTTATAACACCATATTCTTGGTCTGTACAGAATGGCCTAGTAACATCTCATTTATTTAACACCATTAGAGAACTAATTTTTCATAAATGTTTCACATAAGTGAAACAGACCTTTAAGGGTCCTTACTTGGTAATTGTAAACATTGTGAACGAGAATCTTTCTAAACTTGTATTGCATATGTTGCCATCCCCTTCAACATAATTAAAATATACGAAAATCACAACTTAACTCCTTCTGGTTTAAATCACAACACTAGTGATCAAACACTAGTTATGATACAGTCAGTTCTGCTAACGTGTGATATCTATGCACTTTTAAAAGCCATCATACTATGCAAAATCACACAGTAAACCCCACAGAACTTGGGGGCATTTTGGGTCAAGGACATAACACTCAAAAGCCTAATCAGTTTTTACCAGTGATACATTGAAAAAGTAAGATAGGAACAGAATAAAAATTGTAGTACAATTTTACATTTACTAGATGGTTAAGGAATAAATACATTGTATAATAAATATAGCAGTTTACTTTGACGAAATCCTGACCTTTTCTGAGGCCTTGGAAGAAGGCTTGTAGGTTGTGAGTTACTCTACAGTGGTGGAAGGGGGGTGACCTGAAATCGGAAGGTGAGTTGGGGTGCCTGATGTGGAGGGGTGTGGCTCATAGCACACTGGTGGAAACTGAGATGGATGGTAAATGTTTGATGCCTGGGCTTTGTACATTCTGTGTAGCCTTATGCAGCTGGGTTTTACCTGGGTGCAACATTCTGCTACTACCTAGCATTGCTTGCAATGAAGTCATACATAAATGAATGTGAAATTAGAGTTACAATCTCATTGTTCCCTATATTAGTCTTGGAACAAACAAGCTTTATAGCAGAATTGAGGGTACTGTGTGGTAATACGGTGATGTGTAAGGGATATTTTGCTTGTCTCTATCCTACATAGAGTAAAATACTTAGATGTAAAATACTTAGAGAAGAATCTGGTATGAGAGCCAACACTATGTAAGTGTTGACAGTAACAGTGACAATAATAATAAGTGATGCCTATTGTTATTTCTGGGATTCTGTCTACTTTTCAGTTATGACTGCCTACTGTAGCAATTCTTCCTGCCTCCTTCTCGCTGACCTGTTTTTCAGTCTCTTATGGCTCTTAAATGAGTTTATCCTCTTGGAATTACATCTAATATAAGGCCCAGAGTGGGACAGTGTAGACTTTAGGTAATGGTTTACCTGTGGCATCTGTTTTACCTCAAACTTTTTTTTTTAATTGGGAAACATTGTGTTTTTCCAGGACCCATCAGCTCCAAGTCAAGTAGTTGTTTCAATCTAGTTGTGGAGGGCACAGCTCAGTGGCCCAAGCGGGGATCGAACCGGCAATCTTAGTGTTAATGAACACTGCGCTCTAACCAACTGAACTAACTGGCCACCCTGTTACTTAAACTTTTTAATCTTAGGAATGAGTTATTTCCATTTACAGGATTGTTGGGGAAGTAACTTATGTTTTAACTGAAGCTATTATCATGTAGACTTTGGGGATTTTCTGTTTTATTAGAAAAAAATTAGCAGGATTCTCTTTTCTCTTTCCTATCCACAAAAGTGAAGGGTGCTGAAATGAACATATCTGAAGGGCATTTAAAAGTTGTTGATGATTTCCTTTAAGTTGTTATTGTTCACTTCTATTTACATCACCTCTGTTTGTGGGATGAGCTCCTCTTTGGAAGGTGGGACAGGCAAGTGTGACATCGGAAGACCTTCCCTCCTAAGTCATAGTATAATTAGAAGTCCAGATCCTCCCTCAGTTGCTTTTTATGACTCCCTGAGAAAGACATTTTTTTTTTTTTACCATGAATGGTTGACAACAAGCCTTGCTGATTCTTGCTTTAGTAACTTTAATAAGACAACAGATCAAAATAGCCTCTAGATTTAGCAAGCCTTGTTAATATTGTTCGGAAAGAAAAGTAGCCAACAAAGCTCATCATTTAGATATTCCAGTGAAATCTATTTTAATTATGCAGAGAGACTGAATAGCAGTGGGGTGTTTTGATTTCTAATTTCCAATCTGACTTTGAATTTTAACTTTTTGTCTCCACATAATTTTTAGATATATTTGGGCTGCCTGAACTCATTGAGTGATTGCTATTAATTAACAAGACTGTGGGAAAAGGGAACTTGCCTTCTGAGCTTTGCACCAAAGACCTGGGAAGAGTAAGTAATTTTTAACTTGCTTTAAAAAGAAAAAAAAATTGTTATACTTCTCTCAGAAAGTTAACAGTGACTATGGCTTTTCTACTTTCTTTCTTTCCTGGCTTTGTACGTTTTATGTGCTCTTATGGATTTGAAACAAGAAAGAGACTCAGGAGATCTTTAAAAAAAAAAAAAAACCTTCTAAAGAGATTAGGATGACTTTCTGCATTGTGCCATTTCTTTGGGGTTTCATAAACTGAGTACTCAAGGTTCTGATAAAATCTTTTGTCAGATGTGCAGTAGATGGATTAAACTTTAAAGGTAAGGGAATGTAGTATGTTGAGACAGAAAAGTGAGCCCAGTTTTCTGAGCTTCAGGTGTTTTAGACTTTTAGGTAGGCTCTTTGGTTCTGAATTTGTAAAATAAGAATGAAATCCACTTGGTTCTTTTCTTGTCTGCAAAGGAAAACAAAAATGTGGAATCACTTGTTTAATAAGTCCCTCATGAAGCTTGGTCTTGGAAGATTTGATGTACTTGTCAATTTTATTATTTGGTACCCTTTTTGAGGTACTTTAAGATATTATTATGTTTTAACTGAAGTTATTATCCTGCAGACTTTGGGGATTTTCTGTTTTATTAGAAAAAAGTTAACAGGATTCTCTCTTCTCTTTCCTACCTGCAAAAGGTAGGAAGATTGAGACACCTGTATGAATGGTTTTGCCATCTTTTAGAAAAAATTACTTGGCTATAAAGTTTTATTCTGCTATCTTTTTGAAAAAGTAAAATAGGCCTTAAAGATAATGAAGTCAGTCTGCTTTTTTGTATATAGTACTTGAAAGTATGAATAGCCCATAAGAATGTAAGCAAAACTGCTCGCGCACGTGCGGGCGCACGTACACACACACACACACACACACACACACACACACACACACACACACACACACACACACACACACACACACTATGCTCCTTTTTGGCATGTTCCAGAAACAATATCATTGACAATAGGAACTGTTCACCCATTAAATTACTGGATAGTTTTCTAAACTTGGTATGCCTTGTGTCTTACAGCTCTTCTACATTTCTAACAGTACAAATGAGCTAGTTGAAACATGTCTAAAATAAAGAAAGGCAGAAAAGAACTTGGCACTAGAAGTTCCATACAAGTATTAAATAGTAAGATCAGATTTTATTGTTATATTGTATTTACCATAAAGTTACTTATAATGAAATTGTGTATTATTTTGTTATAACTATAATAAGGTAAGGGTCTTTAATTATGAGCCCTATTTAAAGTTTGATAAGATATTTGTACTGAAAAAATATTATACAAACACACAGTATACACACACCATGAATACAATTTCTGAGGGCTGTCAAATCTCTGCTAATATAAATCTGTTGAAAGCAAGGACTTTGAAAATTTTCTCCCAAAACAATTCTTTTGTTACAGGGAAATGTTTGCAGTAGTGAAATACTACTGTCAGCAGAATTTTAAAAAATGATAGCAATTTATTTAGTTGAATTTTGTAGTCTTGTATTCACATATTAACCTTAAAATAAAGGAAATCTTATGTGGTATAGTTGTTATTCCACCTTGGAAGGATATTTAAAAGAGGATTATGTTGAAAGTCACCAATCTGTCCATAGAAATGGAAAGAAAAGGGCAAAAGATTAATTCTCTGGGCTTCAGGATCCAGATATTTGCAGTGGTGTTTAGATTGGAACCATAACTTAGCCTCAGAAAGGAAGCTGCTTAAACTGCCTTTCAGATAATTTAGCATCTCTTGAAAATTTGATATGTTCTCTGGTGAAATATTTTTCTTCCATTATACCAAAATATTTTCTTTGTGACATTGTTGTAAAAGTTATTTTTCTATTTTGTAGAGGCCAGGCATCTAACAATAATAAGCTAAAGGCAGACAGTGCGTCACCAGAGGGACCATGGCAAACAGGTCCCTGGTTACTGAACCTGATGTCATAGATGAATATTTATGTGCACCAAAGGACGTTCACCGCTCACCTTTAGGTTAGAAAAAAATAGAAGAAGATGGTTATAATGTATAAGTATGATTCACATAAATCTAGTCTTGAAGAACCAGCTATATGGAAGGAAACATTAAGGTAGAAGGTAGGGTGGTGGTGAAGGTGGTGGGGGCGGGGGAGGAGATAAATCCTTTCTGAAATTTACAAGTTATGAGATAATTTTTTTAAATTAAAGTTTATTGGGGTGACAATAGTTAGTCAAGTTACATAGGTTTCAGGTGTACAGTTCTAGACTACATCATCTATATATCACACTGTGTGTTCACCACCCAGAGTCAGTTCTCCTTCCATCCCCATGTATTTGATCCCTTTTACCATCTTCTACCACCCGAGAGAATGTTTCTGACAATACATATTTTGAAGACTGTAAGGGGTCCTTAAATATATTGGTGATTTCTTCTGGGAGGCAAGTGCTGTTTTAGGGAAAATTCAGAACCTCAAACAACCTTCACAGTTTTTTTTTTAACTCCCTTTTGTCCTCTGTTTTTATGTTTTTCTTAATCACAAATGTGTTTTCAAGGTCTTTCTTGTTTCAAGCATTTTAGTTCATTATTGGAGGTAGATTTCTGGAAACTTGAGTCTGTAATGTTGACAAAATGTAGATGCAATTTTGAAAAGTTAGCCATGGATTATTTTAACACAAGTGAAAAATAGCTTCTATTTTATTATTTTATTTAATACATATATAGTATGTTAATATTAAAATAGTAGAATATGCTACAAATTGTATAATAGCCTGTTTTTTCCATTTAACAATAAATAATGAACTCCTATGCTAATACATTATTTATTATTTGCAATATCATTTTTGGTGAAAGCGAAATAGTTGGGTCTTGGCTTTTTGTTTAATTAGAGGCTATCCTGCCTTTCAGTTAGAAAGGAATATAAGTATGTGAGATATGTGGTATAGATTTTTCATCTGCAAGCAGAGAATAAACTAGGATTCTCCCTCTGTAATCTCTATAGTGTTTCCTGTCACCAGGCATGTTCTGAATAGAAGACTTAAGGGATAAATACGTGTTCAAAATTGTGTCACTGTCTGACAGGTACTATGTATAAAATGCTGTGTCTTCTTTGGTCCCTTTATTACATTACAAGAGTGCGGGTGACACGTTCCTCTCACTTAGCTGTCCTCATCAATATTTCTATGCTTAAGGAAGGATCCTACCTACATATTGCTTTTACACAAGAAACTCTAAATATCTCAGGTGAGGTGAAAGTACAGTAGGAACAGTTCATAGACTTTGGAATAGAATTTATTGGAGTTAATTGCAATCCGTATTAGTTGGAGATGCAAAATGTTTTATAGACTTCTGCATTTGCATGCTTTCTCATTTTAAGTTTATTTATGAAGCCAACATTTGTTGTGCAACTCCTGTGTGCCAGGCACTATGTTAAGAGCTCATTATTTAAAGCTTAAATTATTTAAAGCACTTACTTTCAAGGAGTTTAATCTGAGTTTCAAATTTGCAACTCAAATGACATTGTTTCAGCATGTACTACGTGACAAGGAGTAGGTTGGATGTTCTTAGATGAGGTGTTTGACCACTAAAATTTGGTAATGATATTTATTGACCCATCCTTCCAAAATACGTTGTGAATAGAATTTTCTAATCTTGAAGTTTTTTTCTTCCATTATATTTTCTTAAACTTTGCTTCCTGCTACTACTTGTTAAATTAAATTAACAAATAGAAAAAAGTTAAATAATAAATTTAGAACAATGATTTTAAAAACATTATTTGTGTGTGTGTGTGTGTGTGTGTGTGTGTGTGTGTGTGTAGCCTGTATATATATAATCTAGTCATAATTCCTCCTGGTAGAGTAGCGTACTTCTTAGTTCACGTGATATAATCAAATATATCAAGATTTCATGGCATTCTGCCCTGAGAGTGGCTCCACTGTTTGAAGAGGTATGGAAGCTATAGCATCAAGTCACTGGATTTTCAATTCTTGGAGTAGCGATTATTGAAACTCAGGGGGAAAAGTAACTTGCACACTTTTACACTGCTAGAAAATGTTTGCTTTAGGATTCCAGTTTCAATCCATCTAACATCAAAGCTCATGCAATATCCTCCCGACTCCCGTGAGCTGGTGGGGAAGGTAGACTCACAAGTGTTCTGGGCCTGCCGAGGAAGGGACAGTCATTTTAGCTGAGACATCAGGAAATGTGCTCGCTGCACTGAAGAGCTGACGATAAAGTAAGGCCTGTGGGCTGAGTTAGAAGACAGAGAGAAAAGAGGAGAGTTGCTGGGGCTGCAGGAAAAGCATGTGCAAAGGTGCAGAGGGATGGAAGCTCATGGCATGTTTACTGTGGTTGGGGTCTGGGGCGTGTGGGTGAGCAGAGTAGGCTCAGGTTGCAAAGCCTTGGTTCCAGAGTGATTAGGGCCCCAGGTGTGCCATGCTAGAGACCTGAGGTTTCTCAGTAATATATAGCCATGAGTGTTTTAAGGGACAGAAACTTCATAATTGGATGGGAGTTTTACAAAGTTCACTTGGGTATATAGATTGCAAAAGAGAAAACTGGAGACTGGCGACCCAGGGCTGCCACGTGAGGCTGTATGGATCGTTCACTGCGCAAGGGTATGTGTGAGCGGTGGGGACTGATAACCATTCAGCATGTTATTCACCAAGCTGTGTACTCTTGGGGTTGGGGCTGCCTAGAGAGGGCACCTTTTAAAATTTTCACAGTAAGATGCTCTACTTGCCTTTTAATTGCTTATAAAATAATAGGAGAGATCAGATTGGTCAAAGAAATAATCATGTACCCTAAGGCTTAGGAGTCCGGAGGTGGACATGGTGTCCACTATATGATGTTGAGCATGTCCCCCGCCCTCGCATAATCTATTTCCTTACCTTTAAGTGAGAGTTAATAATAGGAATCAAGTAGGGCCCTGGGCAGAGCAGTTAAGGGGCACTGGTAAGAAAAGGAGCTAGAGATGGAGAAATAATAGGTCAGGGACTGGACGCCACT